CTGGGAGTTTCTATTGCACAAGGTTTTATAGATCACCCCAAAGATCCTCCTGAATCCAATTGTCTCTCTCAGCACTCTTTCTCTCCATTTTCTTCTTATTGGATCCCTTCTCTTCCCATGAACACACTCATATCCATATCCTTTACCCCCAATCATCTATGACGTCCATTCTGTTTACCCTTCATAGTGAGATTTATGTGTCTCCCTTGAGCCCTCCTTGTTACTTTACTTCTTAAGGTCTGTAGATTATAGGATTTTTCCCTTTACTTTATAACTACTATCCACTTATAATTGAGTACATATCATTTTTGCCTTTCTGGGTCTGGGTTGCCTCACTCAGGGTGATCTTTTCTAGTTCCATCCATTTGCTAGCAAATTTCTTGGTGTTATTAATTTAACAGCTGAGTAATACTCTATTGTATAAATGTAATACATTCTTTATCCATTCTTCATTTGATGGACATCTAGGTTGTTTCCATTTTCTGGATATTGTTAATAATGCTGCTGTGAACATAGTTGAACAAGTGTCCTTGTAATATGTTAGTGTTCTCTGGGTATATGCACAGGAGTGGTATAGCTGGGTGTTGAGGTAGGTCAGTTCTCAATTTTCTGCAAAACCACCATATTGACTTCCAAAGTGCCTGTGCACGTTTGTACTTCCACCTGCAGTGGAGAGGTGTTCCCCTTGTGCCGCATCCTTTTAAGCATAAACTGTCATTTGTGTTTTTGATCTTAGCCATTCTGACAGGTGTAAGATGGAATCTCAAAGTCATTTTGATTTTAATTTCCCTGATGGCTAATGATGTTGATTATTTCTGTATGTGCTTCTCAGCCATTTGAGGTTCCTCTGTTTAGAGTTCTTTATTTAGATCCATACCTCATTTTTAATCGGATTTTATTCACAAATTCTCATTGGCCGTATAATAAAAACTCAATGCTAGATATCAAGGTAAATGCTGAAAGATCAGAGGAAACAAGCCACAGCCACTTGTCACCTTGCCAACTCCTCAGCTCATCCTGTCCCCATGAATCATCAGACTGAATTTCTCTGAGTCCTCAGCCAAAAGGCTCTAGTTCTTGTATCCTCAAACCGTATATGCCTTTCTCTGCCCAGCCATTTTATTTCTTCTTAATGCTGGGATTAATGGCATGTGCTCTTCCCAAATACTGATAGCAAAGGCATGAGATCTCAAGAACTTGGATTAAGGGCTTGACTCTCAAGTACTAGGATTAAAGATATGTGCCAGCACTGCCTGCTCTCTTTCTCTCCTAGACGGAATCAATCTCAAGTAGTCCAGTGTGGCTTTGAACTCATAGAGATCCAAACATGTCTCTGCCTCCTGAGTGCTAGGATTTAAGGTGTATGCTACCACTGCCTAGCTTCTATGTTTAATCTAGTGCCTGTTAATGCCTTCTGAACCTCAGGAAAGCTTTATTTCTTACACAATATATCATCACAGGATTATTTGATTTTTTTGATGCCTATTTTCTTGGGTTCTTTATATATGTTGAAAATCAGCCCTCTGTTAGATGTAGGTTGGGTGTGTTTGCTTGTTTTTTGTTCTAGACCTTTCAGGTATCTTGTTATGTTGCTAGTATGACATATTTCTAATTTCTTTATGAAGACACGTAAAACTTTCCCCATAACACTGCTTTTATTATGTCTCAAAAGTTTGGGTAGTATGTACATTCATTTTCATTCATTCTAGGAAGTCTTTAATTCCATTCTTCATTTATTCCTTGACTCAGTTGTGATTAGGCAGACAGTTATTCAGTTTCCATGAGTTTGTAGGCTTTCTGTTGTTTTAGTTATTGTTGAAATACATCTTTAATTCATGGTGTTCTGAGAGGATGCAGGGGCTTATTTAAATTTTCTTGTGTCCGTTGAGAGTTGCTTTGTGACTCACTATAAGTTTAATTTTGGAAAGATTTGCTGGGAGGAAGGTATGTTCTTTTGTGTTTGGGTGAAATGTTCTGTAGATATCTGTTAGACCCATTTGGTTCATAAATCATGTTAGCACTATTATGCCTCTTTTGTTTTGTCCTGACAACCTTTTCATTGGGGGAAGTGGGTTGTTGAAGTATCCCACGATTAATGTGTGAGGTTCAATGTGTGATTGAAGCTTTAGGTATGTTTCTTTTACAAATGTATGTGCCTCTGTGTCTGGGGCATAGATGTGAAGAATTACAATGTCCTCTCACTGGGTTTTTCCTTTAGAGTTTAAAATATCCTTCTCTATCCCTTTTAATTAATTTTCAGTGAAAGTCTATTTTGTTGGACATTAGAATAGCTGCATCAGCTTGCTTCTTAGGTCCATTTGCTTGGAAACACTTTTTCATCCTTTTACTCTTAGACAATGTCTATGTTTAGTGTTGAGGTATGTTCCCTGTATGCAGCAAACGGATGGATTGTGTTTCCATATTCATTCTGTTAGTGTTTGTGTCATTTTATTGGAGAATTGAGTTCCATTGCTACTGAGAGATATTAATGACCACTGGTTGTTAAGTCCTATTATTATGATGTTGTTGTTGGTAGTGTGTGTGTGTGTGTGTGTGTGTGTGTGTGTGTGTGTGTGTGTGTGTTTCACATCTCTGGCTTTTGCTTGTGTGTGTTTATTTATTGCCTGTGTTTTCATGGGTGTAGTTATCCTCCCAGGTTTAAAATATTCCTGCTTGTACCTTCTCTAGGGCTGTATTTGTGCATAGATATTGTTTCCATTTGACTTTGAAATGAAATATATTGCTCTTTCCATCTATGGTGTTTGAAAATTTTGCTGGGTATCATATTCTGTGCTTGTGTCTGTGTTCTCTTAGAGTCTATAAAACACCAATCTAGGCTCTTCTGGCTTTTAAAGGCTCCATTAAGATGTCAGGTGTAATTCTCACAGTTCTGCCTGTATATGTTCCTTGGCTTTTTTTCCTTTGCAGCTTTTAATAATCTGTCGTTTTTACTTCATGTTTTGATTATTATATGGTGTGGGGACATTTTTTCTGGTCCTATCTGTTTGGTATTCTGTAAGCTTCTTGTTCCTCATAGGCATTTTGTGTTTAGGTTGGGAAAATTTTCTTCTATGATTTTGTTGAATATATTTCCTGCCCATTTGAGCTGGGGTTCTTTTTCTTATATTCCTCTTATTCATAGATTTGGCTTTTTCATAATGTCCCAGATTTCCTGGATGTTTTCTGTTCAGAATGTTTTAGAATTAACATTTTGTTTGACCGATTCATCTCTTCCCTCCAATGTATCTTCTGTGCCTGTGATTCTCTCTACTATCTCATATATTCTGTTGGTGATGTTTGCATCTGTAGTTCCTGTTCACTTACTCAGATTTTCTATTTCCAAAGTCCTTCCTTTTATGTTTTCTTTACTGCTTCTATTTCCATTTTCATGTCTTGAAGAGTTTCCTTCACCTGACTTAGCTTTTTTGGCATTATTTATGAGATTTATTTATTTCTTCCTATGTTTTATTTTAGCCCACGACTTCAGAGTAAGGCTTCTTCTTGCATAAGGCAAGGCTGGATCTAAGGACCCAGGGTAAGACACTACTCACTGCCAGCTAAGATTCCCTAAAGCTGACCCAACAGCTCCCAATTTCACCTTCTTCCCTGAGCTCCATTTTCCAGACTACAACCTGGTCAGATAATTTTTACTATATTGAGGTCCACACTGTACTAGGAATCTCAGAGATCAAGCAGCACCCAGACACCTCAGTCAGGTGATTTTTAAAGGCCAAGTATCTAAAGTAAATATTCTGTCTATGTGCAAACAGAATATCATCTGGTACAAAGAAAGCTTTTATTTCTAGAAACAGAAAAAGAATTGTTAAATTTATACAATACCAGGCAATGACAAAAATAATCACTAAGCAGACTTTAACACTTGCAAATTCAATATTGACATCTACTTATTTTAATCACAGCAATTTTAAACTTTAAAACATATAGTTAGCCGTCAATGTGACATTAGCCATCCCAGTGTATGAGGAGATACTTACGGGAGCATGGGTAACACTAAATTTGGTGGACTTACAAAAGCCAATGTTAGCGTGGGTGAAGATAAAGGAAACCTACATCCCTGCATATTGTGCAGCTTGGTAAACTGGAGGGTCTCCTCAGCTTTTGTTATTACTCATATGAAATTAGGGAGGACCTTTGTGAATTCCGTATGTTTCTGGATCTTCCTGAGCCTTTTGAAGTTTAGTTTAGTTCTGGTGACTTAATTGTTTCTCCTCCAAAAGGCAATGTTCTAATTCTGAGGAACTAACTTTTCAACAGGAAGGTAATTGAAAAATAAGAGAATGAGGTGCTTACTTCAACCACACCTTAGAAAGTGTTTCAATAATGGGGATGTATACATTGAAATATTAAAGAAATAGGAGGATGGTTCTGGTGAGAGAGGACTTTGACATACAGCATTTGGGGTGCACAGTACAGCAAATGGTGAAACCCAGTGTTAAGAGTAGGCTTTCAGAATGATATCAGCAGCAGAGTTAGAAAGACAAGTTTGGGTAACTGAGTGTGAATATAATATAACATATATGAAATTGTTTTCAAACCCATTATGTTGTATAACATGATTACATGTTAGTAAGATACACTAATAAAGAGTATCTTATTGATCTTGTTGATCTGCAATCGTGAGATACTCAACATGGTTACAGCTTCAAGTACATCATGAACTTACAGCTAGTCAGGCTGTAGAGGTCTGCCAGAGTGAAATGAAATAGAGACCCATGAACTAAGCAAAAGATTTTGATTTCTGTTGAGTGGGTTGCAAGGACCATAACCTTTGTAAGTAAAGGAAAGCCACGTTCAGAACCATATTAGAATAAGAAGCATGGTCCCAAAGTTAGAGAGAGACCTCTGTCTTGACATTCCAGCTGTTGTTTCACTGCATCTACTGGTCTTTACTGGAGAAAGGACTGTGGTCTTCCTCAGATCTTTCTTTGAGAACTCATGGGGTGAAGAAGATCTTTCATCTCAGCTTAACATTTCCTGACTTCCATGTATACACTGGGATCTGTGGAAAATTCCTTGGGAATCTGGGAATCGGGAGTGGTCAATTTTTGTTTGAAGATCATCTGATCAAATTCTAAGTATGTCACCTCCTGCACTTCTTCTCTTTCAGGGTCCTAGAAAGAGGCAAATGTCAAGTGATGTTGTGTGCACACATTCTTGCAGAGAGTGAAGAATATTAAACTGTATGGAAGAGGGCAGACTCAGGACATTACCTGACTGTTCAGTATTGTTCTCACGTCAGAGTCTTGGTCCATGATGACTGCATTTTAGGGGACAGAAGTAATCAAACACATATAATAAAGTACTTCTGCACTCTCATATAAAATCAGAATTACTAGTGAGAGATATGGTAAAACCCAAGGTTGCTCACCCATTGCAAATTAGAACCAGATTTTCTGCTGCTTTATGTTCACAGCCCCATTCTACAATGCTGTATAACATTTTCTTCAGCACATACTCTCTGCCCTCCTCCTACTTCCCTCCCTCCCTCCCCTTCCATTCCTCCTTTTCTCCCTGCTTCCCAATCTCTCTCTCTCTCTTTCTCTCTCTCTCTCTCTCTCTCTCTCTCTCTCTCTCTCTCTCTCTCTCTCTCTCTCTCACACACACACACACACACACACACATCACACACACACATACACACACACACTCTTGTTAAACCTTCTCCTTGTTATTAGTGCATGCTTTGGATGCGAAGATGCATTGAGGAATTATTCAGTGATCTGAAAAATGTGGGGAAGGGCAAGGGCTGTGGATTTTCCCTAGAAAGCTCTGCCTTAGTTTCCCTGTCTTGGTCAAAGTATTTTTTTTTTTATAAATTAAGAAAGCATACCTCTACTTCTCTGGTCTTGTTCTCTCACACTACTCAGATGACATTCACTGACTTGTTCCTGAGACTTACTCTTTTTGGTAGAGCAACAAGAATAAAGGAGGATGATGAGGAAGACAAGGATTGTGGTCACTGACAGTCCAATCAGAATATGCGTTTTCCTGTGGTTATCTGGAGGAAGATGTGAACCTAATAAAAGGAAAATCTTATTATCCCCATTTTAACAGATTGCATAGTATTTATCAATTGATGGATAATTGATATAATATTGCTTTAGGACAAGAGTCTTGATGGAGAACCCACTAATAATTACCTGCTCAATGGAATCAGTATTAAATGGACTTCTAATGAATTATTATTATACCTAGATATGACTATATTTCTCAACTCTCATCAGAGGAATCTATATTTGGGACAGATGGTGATTATTACAGATACCCACAACTGGGCACGCTGTGGAGATGAAGAGACTCTAGAATTGTGGCACTAAATGAGATGTTTACATCTCAAATCCTTCTCCAAATGTTCAGCATTGCTGTGGGATGGTCTGTATGTCAAGTGTGTTGTTGATTGGTCAATAAATAAATCACTGATTGGCCAGTGGCCAGGCAGGAAGTATAGGCGGGACAAGGAGGAGAATAAAACTGGGAAGTGGAAGGCTGAGTCAGAGAGACACTGCCAGCTGCCACGATGAGAAACAGCATGTGAAGATGCGATAAACCACGAGCCATGTGGCAAGGTATAGATTTATAGAAATGGCTTAATTTAAGCTGTAAGAACAGTTAGCAAGAAGCCTGCCACGGCCATACAGTTTGTTAGCAATGTAAGTCTCTGTGTTTACTTGGTCGGGTCTGAGCAGCTGTGGGACTGGCAGGTGAGAGAAATTTGCCCTGACCGTGGGCCAGGCAGGAAAACTCTAGCTACACAGCATCATTGAAAAGATATGGAAGAAGAGACTGCACAAAGAGTCTATGGATAACTATAAGAAAGCTGTCTTCTGTACACTGAGGGCAGGTGAATATATGAACTTCACAAGAGGTTGATATAGCATGCCCCAAAATGGTGCAAGTTCAAGCATGACCAAAACCCAGCATGGAGAGTGGAGTTGGACATGAGGTCCCACCCCTAGTCAAGGGGTTAGAAGCTATTGGTGACTGTTGGGAGAATGAGTGTCAGTTTTAGGAGTGTTGTTACTACTAAATTGACTATGCTCCAGCAGAAGTCCACACATCCAGGAATATATTGGTGTTATGCTAGTGGCAGAACACTGCAGGGCACTAGGTTAAAATAATATGTTAAGTAACTCAATCTGAATTTGATATCAGTTCTCATTAGATCTTCCTTGCTTCTGTAACACCTTGAACTAAACATTTATTTCTCTTTGGGGAAAAAAGTGAAGTCAAGTCTAATCCATCAGAAGTAGTATTTTTATATAAAGTCTTCCCTTCTTCTCACTTCTTTCCTTCTTCATGTCCCATCACCTCCTCCCCAGGAGGATTAGAGTTAGAATGAGCACTTCATTGATCCTGAAAAGGGAGTAAAATTTACTCTTCTTTTCACTCACCAAGGTCTCAGGTACAGAAATTAAAGATGCATAATCATTAAATTTCCCAAACTGCTCCTAAACAACTTCTAATGTTGAAGAGTTCAAGAATCAGAGAGGGGAGATGATGATGATAAGAATACAGAGTCAGGAAGGAGCTGAGACAAAATAAGCCAAAGAGCTTTTGGTCCATAAGTTTCCACAATAGAAGAGCAATCAATTACTCACTGGTTGTGAAGTCTGCTTCTGTGCAAGAAGTGAAGTTTCTTGTTGAGTTAACTAGAGAAGGGAACAGGAGAGGGAGAACGTTCATCAGAGGCTGTCTGTCTTCCCCTTAAGGAAAGTGTTTTAAATTTGGACAGTGACCACCACCCACTCCACCTCTTAGTGCTGAGCCTGTAGAGTTATAGAATGACATTTAGTGGATTGCTTCTATGTGTTGACTCTCTCCTTGGATTTCAAGTTTTGCTGATTCATAGGAATGCTGTGGGAAGATGTATGTGAGCAAGAGATCTGGAGGGCTGCTCCATCTCTGCTTTGCCCAAACTGATATGAACCTCATCCCTAATGACTCTGTCCTGACCCATTGAAATGTCTGCCTCTATTCATAGATATCCCAGTATGGATGCAAAGTCATATAAAATGTGTTCAGGAGGCTTTCTGTTTGTTGCTTTGATATCTGCTACCAAGTCCCAAATTGAGTGTTTTTTACAATAGGTTTTCAGTTGAAATATAATTCTTTCCCTTTCCCATCCCTTTCCTCTCTCCAGTCCCTCCCAGAAACCCTTCCTCCAAGCTTTCTCATATCCCCACAACACTCTTAAATTAATAGCCTCTTCTTCACTGAAAATTATTGTTACATATGTATATAAAGCTATGCATATTCACATATATATGTACACATGTCATATTTGCACATACATGCATACATACATGTACATATATACACATCACATGTGTATATACACATATATAAATGTAACACACATATACAAATATATGTTTAATTCCACACACGTGACATTAAGACTCACAGCAGTCCTTCTCTGTAGCTCCAAATGCTACTTTCTCTCTATCATCAATTGGAGGATCCTGAGACATGACCTCAGTATTTCATTAATCACAAGATATGAGATATATATGAAGTTCTCTTACCTGTGACAAGAATGTACAAAGGGTCACTTGGGGTTGACCACACATGGGAAGAGTTCCTAAAAGAGCCATAGCAGCTATAGTTCCCTGCCTGGACCACAGGACCAAGATGGAAGTTGGCCTGGAATGTTCCATTGTGGCTCTTCACTGAAGGCAGACCATGTCCCTTGGGTACCCCTTCTGTGGACAGATGGAACATGTCAAACTGAAGGTCAGAGACACAGGACAAGGTCACGTTCTCTCCTGACATCACCACAGGGCCCATCAGGGCTGACAGAGAAGGTTTCTTGTATAAACCTGGAAGAAAAGAGGAAGAGAGAGTTAGTTCGTTACCAGTGTTCTTTCACTCCTCAGTGTTCCCTCTACATGTGTCTATTTCTTTGATTTCTCTGCCTCTTACCATCTCCCTCTCTCTATTTCTCCCTTTCTCCTCTCCTCTCTTTCTCTCCTTCTCTCCCTTTATTTCTCTGTTACCATCTTTAGTCTATGACCTCACTCTGTACTCAAATATTTTTGCTTAATGATATTTTCTGCCTCTATTTGCACAGGTTCATCCATCTGTCTTTTAAAGTTTGTTTGTATGAGCATAATTAATTTTATCTAGCACTCAACTTCATAATGAAATATTCCTATGCAAACAAATATATTTTTGTGCTTATTTTAAGTTTTAAAATTGAACTATATATCATTTAGTGTTTTAAATATTATTATTATATATAATTATAGATATATAATATTAACCATATTAGGGCTAGTATTCTTTATTGCCCTTCTACTTCCAATAATCACATTCATTTTACTAATTGGTCTTCTCTATATTTCAATTTTTTCAGTTGTTCTGCAAGTCAATGGGTTCAATTAGAGTTACTCATGATTTTGTTTTAATTAGCATACCAAGTAAGAGTCTTTGTTATGACATCCTCATACAGCTCCTTTTGTTCATTTTTCTCCCTCTTCCATCCCTTCTACCAGATTTGCTGATCTCTTTACATCCCTCATTTCCTCCTCCATGTCATATGTCTTTCATTTGTTTCCCACCCCTCTCTATTAAACTTTCTTCCCATGGTCACTTGCTAATTTCATGACCTGTAAACATGCCATCCTATATATAATAAAAATCTAGAATCTAGATCCCTGGGCACCAGCCACTCCAGGGAAGACCTGCCCAACTCGGCCCCAGGTTCTCGCCATCGGGCAGGTTCCCTGCTAGCCCCACCGGGAAGGATCCCCTTCTCCATGAACCCTGGCAGACCCTGCAGTCTCCACGCCCTGCCCCCACGCCCATCCGCCTGAGCTCCAAGCATCTTCCTGAGAATTAGAGGCCGGCCCCCAGCTCCCATCTTGCTCCGGACTTCCCTTTTGGAACACTGGTGAGTACCCTTCCTTGCCCCAGACCCCATCCCTGGGCACCAGCCACTGCAGGGAAGACCTGCCCAACTTGGCCCCAGGTTCTGGCCACCGGGCAGGTTCCCTGCTAGCCCCACTGGGAAGGATCCCCTTCTCCAAGACCCCTGGCAGACCCTGCAGTCTCCACGCCTTGCCCCCACGCCCATCCGCCTGAGCCCCAAGCCTCTTCCTGAGACTTAGAGGCCGGCCCCCAGCTCCCATCTTGCTCCGGACTTCCCTTTTGGAACACTGGTGAGTACCCTCCCTTGCCCCAGACCCCATCCCTGGGCACCAGCCACTCCAGGGAAGACCTGCCCAACTTGGCCCCAGGTTCTGGCCACCGGGCAGGTTCCCTGCTAGCCCCACCGGGAAGGATCCCCTTCTCCAAGAACCCTGGCAGACCCTGCAGTCTCCACGCCCTGCCCCCACGCCCATCCGCCTGAGCCCCAAGCCTCTTCCTGAGACTTAGAGGCCGGCCCCCAGCTCCCATCTTGCTTCGGACTTCCCTTTTACAACACTGGTGAGTGCCCGTCCTTGCCCCAGACCCCATCCCTGGGCACCAGCCACTCCAGGGAAGACCTGCCCAACTTGGCCCCAGGTTCTGGCCACCGGGCAGGTTCCCTGCTAGCCCCACCAGTAAGGATCCCCTTCTCCAAGACCCCTGGCAGACCCTGCAGTCTCCACGCCCTGCCACCACGCCCATCGGCCTGAGCCCCAAGCCTCTTCCTGAGACTTAGAGGCCGGCCCCCAGCTCCCATCTTGCTCCGGACTTCCCTTTTGGAACACTGACTTCCGTTTTGGAACACTGGTCTGTCTGAACCAAGTGTGCGAATAAGGCCAAGAACGAACCACAAGGAGATGGGCAGACGTCAAGGCAGAAACATATACAACAAAATGAATAGCAATACAGCATCACCAGGCCCTAGCCCTCCTCCAACACCTAGACCTGAACATCAGAAATTGGAAGAAGCAGAAGAAAACAGCCTTATGAATGACATCATGAAGAAGCTAGAGGCTTGCGTAGAGGAAAAGACAAAAAAATGTGAAGAACGCTGTAAACAACTAGAGGAAAGGGCAAACAAATTAGAAGAAATCAATAAAGTCCTGGAAGAAAACAAGAAAATACTGAGAGAAAATCAAGAAAAATCAATGAAACAAATGAAGGAAACAGTCCAAGACCTGAAAAGGGAAATAGAAAAAATGAAGAAGACACAAACAGAGGGAATGCTGGAAATAGAAAATCTGAGAAAACGATTGGGAACTTCAGATGCAAGTATAATCAACAGAATGCAAGAGATGGAAGAGAGGATCTCTAGCGTTGAAGATACAGTAGAAGAAATACATTCATCAGTCAAAGAAAACACTAAAGCCAACAAAGTCATGAACCAAAATGTCCAAGAAATTTGGGACACCATGAAAAGACCAAACCTAAGAATAATAGGGGTCGAAGAAGGAGAAGAATACCAACTCAAGGGCACAGAAAATATATTCAACAAGATCATAGAAGAAAACTTTCCCAACTTAAAGAAGGAAATGCCTATGAAGATACAAGAAGCTTATAGAACACCAAACAGACTAGACCCCCAAAAAAAGTCCCCTCGCCACATAATAGTTAAACAACTAAACGTACAGAATAAAGAAAGAATATTAAGAGCAGCAAAGGAAAAAGGCCAAGTGACATATAAAGGCAAACCCATCAGAATAACACCCGATTTCTCAATGGAGACTTTGAAAGCCAGAAGAACCTGGACAGATGTAATGCAGACACTAAGAGACCATGGATGTCAACCTAGACTAATATACCCAGCAAAACTTTCAATCACCATAGATGGAGTGAACAAGACATTCCATGACAAAGCCAGATTTAAACAATACTTATCAACAAACCCAGCCCTACAGAAAGCACTAGAAGGAAAATTCCAATCTAAGGAAGTCAGATACACCCTCGAAAACACAGGCAACAGATAAAGCCACAGCAGTAAACCCCAACGTATAGAAGTACCCACACATCACCACCAAAAAATAACAGGAATGAACAATCACTGGTCATTAATTTCCCTCAATATCAATGGACTTAATTCACCTATAAAAAGACATAGGCTTACAGAATGGATACGAAAGCAGGACCCATCTTTCTGCTGCATACAAGAAACACATCTCAAATTCAAAGATAGACACTACCTAAAAATAAAAGGCTGGGAAAAGACTTTCCAATCAAACGGTCTTAAGAAACAAGCGGGTGTAGCCATCCTGATATCCAGCAAAATAGACTTCAAACTAAAATCAATCAAAAGAGATCAAGAAGGGCATTACATACTCATCACAGGAAAGATCCACCAAGATGAAGTCTCAATTCTGAATATTTATGCCCCAAACACAAGGGCACCCACATATGTAAAAGAAACATTACTAAAGCTTAAATCACATATAAAACCCCACACATTAATAGTGGGAGACCTCAACACCCCACTTTGACCACTGGACAGATCTCCCAAATTGAAACTTAACAGAGAAATAAAGGACTTAACTGATGTCATGACTCAAATGGACTTAATCGATATCTACAGAACATTCCATCCTAACAAAAAAGAATATACCTTCTTCTCAGCACCCCATGGAACCTTCTCTAAAATTGACCACATACTTGGCCACAAAACAAATCTAAACAGATACAAAACAATTGGAATAACCTCCTGTGTTCTATCAGACCACCATGGTCTAAAGTTGGATTTCAACAACAACAAAAACTACAGAAAACCTGCAATCTCATGGAAACTGAATAATACCCAACTGAATCACCAATGGGTTAAGGAAGAAATAAAGAAAGAAATTAAAGACTTCCTAGAGATCAATGAAAATGAAGACACCACATATCCAAATTTATGGGACACTATGAAAGCAGTACTAAGAGGGAAATTCATAGCACTAAATGCCCACATAAATAAGTTGGAGAAATCTCACACTAGAGACTTAACAGCATACCTGAAAGCTCTAGAACAAGAAGAAGCACAGTCTCCCAGGAAAAATAGACGCCAGGAAATTATCAAAGTGAGAGCTGAAATCAATAAAATAGAAACAAAGAGAACAATACAAAAAATTAATGAAACAAAGAGTTGGTTCTTTGAGAAAATCAACAAGATAGACAAGCCCTTATCCAAACTAACCAAAAGACAGAGAGAGAGCATCCAAATCAACAAAATCAGAAATGAAAAGGGGGACATAACAACAGACATTGAGGAAATCCAGAGAATCATCAGGTCATACTTCAAAAACCTCTATTCGACAAAACTGGAAAACCTAAAAGAAATGGATAACTTTCTGGATAGGTACCACATACCTAAGTTAAATCAAGACCAGATAAACTATTTAAATAGTCCAATAACCCCTAACGAAATAGAAACAGTCATTAAAAGTCTCCCAACCAAAAAAAGCCCAGGACCAGATGGTTTCAGCGCAGAATTCTACCAGATCTTCAAAGAAGAGTTAATACCAATACTCTCTAAATTGTTCCACACAATAGAAACAGAAGGAACATTACCAAACTCCTTCTACGAGGCTACAATTACCCTAATTCCTAAACCAAACAAGGATACAACAAAGAAAGAGAACTACAGACCGATCTCCCTCATGAACATTGATGCAAAAATACTCAATAAAATACTGGCAAACAGACTCCAAGAACACATCAAAACAATTATCCACCATGATCAAGTAGGATTCATTCCAGGGATGCAAGGGTGGTTCAACATACGAAAGTCCGTCAATGTAATACACCATATAAACAAACTCAAAGAAAAAAACCATATGATCATCTCACTGGATGCAGAAAAGGCATTTGACAAAATCCAACACCCCTTCATGATAAAGGTATTGGAGTGATCAGGAATACAGGGAACATACCTAAACATAATAAAGGCAATTTACAGCAAGCCAACAGCCAACATCAAATTAAATGGAGAGAAACTGAAAGCAATTCCACTGAAATCAGGAACGAGGCAAGGCTGTCCACTCTCCCCATACTTATTCAATATTGTACTTGAAGTTCTAGCCAGAGCAATAAGACAACATAAGGAGATTAAGGGGATACAAATTGGAAAGGAAGAAGTCAAGCTTTCCCTATTTGCAGATGACATGATAGTATACTTGAGCGACCCCAAAGATTCCACCAAGGAACTGATACAGCTTATAAACACCTTCAGCAACATAGCAGGATACAAGATCAACTCAAAAAAATCAGTAGCCCTCCTATATACAATGGACAAAGAAGCGGAGAAGGAAATCAGAGATACATCACCCTTTACTATAGCCACAAATGACATAAAATACCTTGGGGTAACACTAACCAAGCAAGTGAAGGACCTATATGACAAGAACTTTAAGTCCCTGAAAAAAGAAATTGAAGAAGATGTCAGAAAATGGAAAGATCTCCCATGCTCATGGATAGGCAGGACTAACATAGTAAAAATGGCAATCTTACCAAAAGCAATCTACAGATTCAATGCAATCCCCATCAAAATACCAACACAATTCTTCACAGACCTGGAAAAAATAATACTCAACTTCATATGGAAAAACAAAAAACCCAGGATAGCCAAAGGAATCCTGTATAATAACACAACTTCTGGAGGCATCACGATCCCTGACTTCAAGCTCTACTATAGAGCTACAGTAATAAAAACAGCTTGGTACTGGCATTAAAACCGACATGTGGACCAATGGAATCGAATTGAAGACCCTGACATTAATCCGCACACCTATGAACATATAATTTTTGACAAAGAAGCCAAAAGTGCACAATGGAAAAAAGAAAGCATCTTCAACAAATGGTGCTGGCAAAACTGGATATCAACATGTAGAAGGCTGCAAATAGATCCATATCTATCACCGTGCACAAAACTTAAGTCCAAGTGGATCAAGGACCTCAACATAAATCCAGCTACTCTGAACCTGCTAGAAGAGAAAGTAGGAAGTAGTCTTGAACGCATTGGCATAGGAGATCACTTCCTAAATAGAACACCAGTAGCACAGACTCTGAGAGAAACAATCAATCAATGGGACCTCTTGAAACTGAGAAGCTTTTGTAGAGCAAAGGATACGGTCAACAAGGCAAAGCGACAGCCTACAGAATGGGAAAAGATCTTCACCAACCCCACATCTGACAGAGGACTGATATCCAGAATATATAAGGAATTCAAGAAATTAGACATCAAAATGCCCAACAGTCCAATTAAGAAATGGGCTATAGAACTAAACAGAGAATTCTCAACAGAGGAAACTCAAATGGCCGAAAGACATTTAAGGAACTGCTCAACATCCCTAATCATCAGGGAAATGCAAATCAAAACAACTCTGAGATACCACCTTACGCCTGTCAGAATGGCTAAGATCAAAAACACTGAAGACACCTTATGCTGGAGAGGATGTGGAGCTAGGGGAACTCTCCTCCACTGCTGGTGGTACTGCAAGCTTGTACAACCACTTTGGAAATCAATATGGCGCTTTCTTAGAAAATTGGGAATCAATCTCCCCCAAGATCCAGCTATACCACTCTTGGGCATATACCCAAGAAATGCTCAATCACACCATAAGAGCACTTGTTCAGCTATGTTCATATCAGCATTGTTTGTAATAGCCAGAACATGGAAACAACCCAGATGCCCTTCAACAGAAGAATGGATAAACAAAATGTGGTACATATACACAATGGAATACTACTCAGCAGAGAAAAACAATGGCATCATGAGGTTTGCAGACAAATGGATGGATCTAGAAAAAATCATCCTGAGTGAGGTAACCCAGACTCAGAAAGACAAACATGGTATGTACTCACTCATAGCAGGATACTAGACATGAAACAAGGATGAATTGTCTGCTACTCACATCACCAGGGAGGCTACCTGGAAAACAGGACCCCAAGAAAGACACAGGGATCACCTAATGACAGAGAAATGGAATGAGATCTACATGAACAGCCTGGACATGAGTGGGGGTAATGAAAGGCGAGGGTTGAGGGAAAGAGAGCTTGGGGGAGCGGGAGATCCCAGCTGGATCAACAACAGAGAGGGAGAACAAGGAATAGGAGACCATGGTAAATGAAGACCACATGAGAATAGGAAGAAGCAAAGTGCTAGAGAGGCCCACAGAAATCCACAAAGATACCCACACAACAGACTGCCGGCAATGGTCGAGAGACAGCCCGAACTGACCTACTCTGGTGATGGGATGGCCAAACACCCTAATTGTTGTGCTAGAAACCTCATCCAACTACTGAGGGATCTGGATGCAGAGATCCATGACTAGGCCCCGGGTGGATCTCTGGGAGTTCAATTAGCGAGAATGAGGAGGGTTTATATGAGCGAGAATTGTTGAGACCAAGGTTGGATAAAGCACAGGGACAAATAGCCAAATGAATGGAAACACATGAACTATGAACCAATGGCTGAGGGGTCCCCACTGGATCAGGCTCTCTGAATGGGTGAGACAGTTGATTGGCTTGATCTGTTTGGGAGGCATCCAGGCAGTGGGACTGGGTCCTGTGCTCATTGCATGAGTTGGCTGTTTGAAACCTGGGGCCTATGCAGGATTGTTTGGCTCGGCCTGGGAGGAGGGGACTAGACCTACCTGGACTGAGTCTACCAGGTTGACCTCAGTCTGTGGGGAAGGCTTTTCCCTGGAGGAGATGGGAATGGGGGGGGGTTGGGGGAAAGTGAGGGGGATGGGAGGGGGCAGAACAAGGGAATCCGTGGCTGATATGTAGAACTGAATTGTATTGCAAAATAAATTAAAAAAAAATCTAAAAAAAAAAATCTAGAATCTAATATCATTCTATTTTTCTTGGTACGTCTTGTTTCTGTTTACATATCTGTGTTAATTAGTCTCTCTTTTCAAAGTACAGAATATTCCATATCTATCTATCTCTATCTATATCTCTATCTATATCTATATATATTTCTCTTGAACAATGGCCATGGTGATCTTCCCTCTCTTTTCCTCTTAGTGTGTGAACTGATCAAGTGTGATCTGTCATCTACTTCCCAAGAACTTAGTTCAGAATTTGGTTTTTGCTTCTGCCTTTATAAGACTTCTACCAAGAGAACCAGACATATCCTGTATCTGACAAGATCTGTCTTAACATATTTAACATCTGCTATAATTTTTCCATGTCTACTTTCAAAGTTTCCATTCAGGCTTCTGTCTTTTTGTAGTTTTTCTCTTAGCACACATTCCATCTTTACTAATTCATAGTCCTTTCTGGGTTTCACCTGTGTGAAGGCATAAGGATTCATATTAACAAGCTCAATTATGTCTCAGGTCAGACACATGATCTTGACAGACTTCTTATTGAGGTAGAAGTAAAAAATTTCTGAACATTAGTAGAAAGACTTCATTCTCTCTGGTTCATATTCTGCTCATCTAATTGCCATTTTCTATGTATCTCTACTTAGGACTCCTTTGCACCTTCCTGTATCTATGCTTTATGTTATAACCAATGGTCTGTTCTTGTGTGTTTTTCATTGTCTATGTCAGTAAAATGCTCACCAAGGTTGCCTTCAAATAAATTTCCCACACTCATTTTCTTGTGGCCTCCCACAGCTTTTAGTGTATAGAATATTTCTCTGTGTCACAAAGAAAATGAAAAGCGTGTCTGCACCCTCTTACCTGTGATATTTATATCAATGGGGTCACTAGAGTCTGACCACTCATATGGTGAGCGATTGTAAAAACCGTAGCATTTGTAAGTTCCAGCATGGTCAGGTGTCACAGGACCTGTTGAGAAGTTGGCCTGGGAAACCCCAAGATGATGTTCTGCAGAAAGCTTTAAAGAGTCCTTGATTGTTCCATTTTTATGTGATGTCAAAATGAAGGTTTCAAACATAATCTCTGATCGACACTCCAGTGTCACCTTCTCTCCTAAATCCACCAGGGGAGTTTGTAAGGCCAAAAGGAAAGGCTTCTTGTAGATTCCTAAGGATAAAGAAATTGTATGAACCTGATCAAAATCTCTGTTTCCTTGAAGACCTATGGTTCTCCCTCAATTGGTCTGTGCTCCCTGTTAGTGCTCCAGTGCACTTGTTCTTGTCTATTTCAACTCTAGACACAGACTCCTCCATCCTTCTGTGTCCATTTCCTACTTATCTGACTCTAGGATTAGCACAATATTTTCCCACTGGCTTGTTGCAAGAATGTGTGTTTTAAACCCTTTTTTTCATAGGCCCTATTGTCTTTTTCTAAGACTAGAAAGTGCAGGAAAAATGGCCATTTTTCACACCAGGCTGCTCTATGTGTCCTTTTTATCAGCTTTGGATAAAGTATAATCCTTGGCAGAATGAAGGAATTATTATTGAACATGGTTATCAGGAAAACAGTTCTAGCCATATGCATGGTTCAAATCACCATAAGACATTCCTGATCCAGAATCCAAAGCATTGTTTCCTCCTAACATGTTGATGAATTAACATCCTGACTTTACTGATCTCAGATCATTCCTTCCATGCTTCTAAATTTGCTCTTGACATGAGTTCCTATATTAATTTCCAATTGCTAGCATAACAAATTACCACAAATTTGATTCATAAAATGAATACAAGTATTGTGGAGATCAGAATTCTGAAAAGGTCAAATGGCATAAATCAGGTTTCTTCAGGGATAGTAACTGCTGAAATCACTAGGAAATTATCCATTTTTTTTGCCTTCCAGCTTCTAGAGCCTCATGCATTCCTTGGCACTTGGACCTTTCCTCCATGTTTAGAGTTTGTGACACGGTGTCTCCTCATGATGATTTGTTTTGCCCACAACTGATTTTTTCCCTATTTTGTTATATAAACCCTTGTAGTTCTCCAGACCTGGAACAATTCAGGATATTCTTGCATCCTGATATCAACTGGTTAAGATCTGAGTTCCATCTTCCAGCCCAACTTTTCCTTGACTTATTGAACACACAGGAAGCCTTAGGGACTAGAAAAATGCATGACATTGTATATCTTATTATGCCCAGAACATTATATATTTCTCTGTTTGAATATTCGTTATAAGTCCAAACCTCTTACTAACACTGAAAATTCCAGGGTTGGGAGATTTGGGGAAATGAAAGGCACTCAAAACATCATCTCTAACCTGAAATTATGATCTTCACAGGGTCACTGTTGGCTGAATTTTTAAAAAGGTAATGATAATTAAAACCTTGGCATCTGTATGTCCCTGCATGTGCTGATGTCACAGGATCCAAGACAAATTTCTTCTTGAATGGTCTTCCCTGGATCTGAGGGATAGGATTACCATGTTCTTTGTACAACATGAATGCATAATAGCTTCTATTAGAGTCACATTGAAGTTCCACACGCTGTCCCAAAGGAACAATATGGCTTGGCCGGGCAGAGAGTGAAGGCTTGTCATCATATCCTGCAGAGGGATGCACAGAGAAAATATTTAATGATGCTCCTTCATCCCTGAGAGCTGAGTCTCCAATTTTCTCTTCTTTGGGGTCCTTTGTATAACACTTTTCTCTGAATTGATACATCCCTTCTTCAATACAAGAGTCTGAGATGTTCAGGATATTCAGAATGTAAACAAACTTTCTATGTCATGCAAAGATGAAACATTCAAGATTCATCAGTGGCCCTTCCCAACTCTATAGAAAGGGTAAGATACTGGACCAGCTGAGCTCTGAGTGCTAATGTCTAAGACCTGTTTGGCTGCCCGCAAGTTGTGCACTGCCTTCAGGGTTTTGGCTTCATGATATTCACTCATATTGGGGTGTGCTTTGAGTAAGGTTTGAGTCACCCTTGCTTCTGTGAGTAACCCCTAATGTCCACTCCTATCAGTAACTTCATTCACCAACTGTAGAAATCTAACAATATTCAGATGAGAAGTATATCATGAATATTCCAAAACTCATGGATGATGGAGAGATAGCCGCCAGGACCACAGAATTGAGAAGATGTATAACAATGGTGAGGAATGAGTCTTTTGAACTACTTTGCTCCTTATGTACATTTGTAAAAATTTTTATTCACAGAGTTTATACAGACTCATGTTTCTACACTAAGAATGATAAGCTAGAGGCTGATAGATACTTCCTTCATCATTTCAAGGCTCCTTTTATGTGAAATATTGGGAGTCTAGTATAGTTCAGCAACTTGTTTATTTGTATTTAGAATGCCTTTGAACTCATAATGATCCGCCCAATAATCCTGTTCATTTATCTGTATCCATTTGTGGATGTTCCTGAGCAATGAGACAATAGCTCTTCTCTGTAATGAAGACCATGTAGACTCCAAGCTATACTACCAGTCAGCTCTGGTGGACATCTTGCAACACTGGCCACCTAACAGCCGTCATAGGTCTTAGCCAGAGACTGTCCCTCATTACAGAGTGTTTTGAGGCCTCATAAAGCACCAGGGAGTACATCCAGCAACAACATCTGATCTCAAAATACAAGAAGGAACCCAGCCGAACTACAGAAGCTGACACCAAAGTCAGCCTATCCAGGGATGCAGTAAGTTGACCTGACTACTATCACCAGTTATACTAAATAGTAAAGGTCCACTTACCAACAGTGAACTCCTCTACATGGCAGAGGAGTTCCTTATTATTAGTACACAGGCACCCAAGTGTAAGAGCATAAGCATTAAAATCAGAGACTTGAACATTACAGAGAACAATGGTGAGACTCAAGAAGTAACACAAAAAGGGAGACCTCTAAACCCATGATGACTAATTCCCAGAGTGTTTTTAATTAAGTTACAGAAGTCTAAGAAACCACCAACAAAACCTGGGCAGATGTCTGCTGCTCATGGACACGCCAGAACAGTCAGAAGAAGAGGTGAAGGCCATACCAGCATGAAGAACAGACAGGCTGCGCTCCACCACATGTAGTTCTCTAACTCAGTAGGTTCAGTTTTCCAAGACTCAACATGCTGCCACCGTTCTTGTCCTACCATCCAGCAAAACTTTCAATCACCATATATGGGAAAAGCAACATATTCCATGATAAAGTCAAATTTGAACAATATCTATCTCAAGATCCAGCCCTACAAAAATACTTGAAAGACATTTTCATCCCAATAACTTTAACTACACCCATGTAGAAACAGGAAATATATAATTTCACACTAGTTAAGGCAAATAATGGAAGAACATGTATGTTCATGTACTTGCCAACACTCTCCCCCCAATCCCCCCCACAGAGGCAGGGGACTACCACTACTACCACCAAAATAACAGGAATTAACAATCATCAGATATTAATATTTTTCAATATCATTGGACAAAAATCTTCAATAAAAAGATCCAGATTATCAGAATAGTGTGAAAACAGGACCCATCCTTCTGTTGCATACAAGAAACACCACTAATATCAAAGGTAAACATCACCTCAATATCTCAGAATAATGCACTGGTCAAAGAATTTCTAAGCAAAGGAATATGAGAAGCAGACTAGGTTAGCTATTCTAGTATCTAACAAAATAAATTTCTGTGGTGATTTGAAAGACAATGGCCTGAAATGGAGTGGGCTATAAGGAGGAGTGGCCTTGCTGGGGTTGCTGTGGTCTTATTGGAGGAAACTAAACAGAGAAATACTGGAGCTAACAGACATGATGTCCCAAATGAACATAATAACATTCTGCATCACATATCACCCAAATGCTAAAGAATATACCTTCTCCTCAGCACATCATGAATTTTTTTTTTCAAAAATTGACCACACCCTCTTTCACAGAACAAGTTTCTACAGATATAAGAAAATTGAAATAACCCCTGTATTATATCAGACCACTATAGATTGAAGCTGGAATTCTAGAAAACAGAAACAAAAGAAAGCCTACAAACTCATAGAAAGTTAAGAACCCTATACTGAATGAAAACTGGGCCAAGACCAAAGTAAGAAAGAAATGAAAAACATTACACAGTTCAATGAAAATGAATGCACACCATACGCAAACCAATGGGACACAATGAGAACAGTGCTAAGAGAAAAGTTCATAACTTTAAGTGCCTACATATTTAAATTAAAGAGATCTCATATTAGCAACTTAACCACACACCTGAAAGATCTAGAACAAAAAATAGCAAACATACACAAGACAGCAGGAAATAATCTAACTGAAGGCTGAAATCAACAAAGGAGAAACAAAGAAAATAATATAAAGAATCAGTAAAATGAAGAGTTCATTCTTTGAGAAAATCAACAGAATGGACACTACCTTGCTGTGGGATGATCTGTATGCTGTGAATATGTGTTGCTCCAATTGGATGATAAATAAATCCTGATTGGCTAGTAGCCAGGCAGGAAGTATAGACAGAATGAGCAGAGAAGGAGAATTCTGAGAAGAGGAAGTCTGAGTCAGGAGATGACAGCCTGCAGTCTGGGAAGCAGCATGTAATTCCTCACAGGTAAAGCCACAGAACACATGGTGACAAAAAGATTCACAGAAATGGGATGAGCTTAAGTGATTATTTTATAAGTGGCTTGTGGTCCGTGGGGCTGGGTTGGGGAAACCTTTCAGCTACACCACTTAATCCAAAATAACTAAAAGGCAGGCAGAGAATATACAAATTAACAAAATCAGAAATGAAATGTGGGACATAACAACAGACATCTAAATAACAAAGGCATCATTAGAGCACTCATTAAAAACCTGTAATCCACAAAATTGAAAAATCTAAAAGAAATGAATAATTTTCTCTTAGCTACCACTTTTCAAAGTAAAATGAACATCAGATAAACAATGTACATAGTCTTATAACCCCTAATAAACAGAAGTTCTCCATAAAAGTTTCCCAAAGAAAGAAGTACAGAGTCAGTAGATTCTAGTGAAGAATTCTTCCAGACTTAAGAACTAATGCCAATATTCCTTAAATTAATCTTAGAAACAGAAGTAACATTGCTTCATTTATGAAAGCATAGTCACCCTGATACCCAAACCATACCAAGTTTCAAAAAAATATAATTACAGGCCAATCTCCCTCATGAACATTGATGCAAAAATATTCCATGAAATACTAGTAAAATGCATCCAAGAACATATCAAAAAGATCATCCACAGTGATCAAGTAGGCTCCATCACAGAGATGTATGGGTGTTTCAACATATGAAAATCTGTCAATGCAATCCACCATATAATTCTGAAAAAAAATCCACATAATTTTCTTATTAGATGTTGAAAAAGCCTTTGAAATTAATCTAACATAGCTTCATGATAAAGGGATATTGGGGATACAAGGATTATACTTAAACATAACAAAAGCAATATCCAGAAGGCCTTTAGTCAACATCAAATTAAAAGGAAGGAAATTAAAAGCAATTCCACTAAAATCAGGAAAAACACAAGGCTGTCCACTACTCTGTATGTATGCAATTTGGCACCAAAACTACACAGATAAACACTGACTTAAAATACCAAAAATTAAAAGATAGAAAAATAAAAGAGAGAGGTTGATCAATAGAATGTAATTGAAGACCCAAAACGTCAATCTGCAAAGCTATGAACACCTGATTTTTGATAAAGAAAACAGAAATACACAATGGAAAATAAAAGAAAGCATCTTCAACAAATGGTCTAACTGGATGCCTACAAGCAGAAGAATGCAAATGGATGGATATCTATCACCCTTCAAAACTAAAGTCTAAGTGAATCAAAGACCTCAACATCAAACCAGATATATTAATAGGTGGCAGCAGATGCAGAGATCCACAGCCAAACATTAGGCAGTATTTCAAAATCCCAAATAAGAGGGGAAAGGAAGGATTGTAGGAGCCAAAGAGGTAAAGGCATCACCAAAAAATGTCCCAAGGATTCAAGTAGGATGGGCTCATGGCCTTCAGTTACAGAGACTGAAGAGTTCATCAGGGAAGACCCCATCCCTGGGCACCAGCCACTCCAGGGAAGACCTGCCCAACTCGGCCCCAGGTTCTGGCCACCGGGCAGTTTCCCTGCTAGCCCCACCAGGAAGGATCCCCTCTCCAAGACCCCTGGCAGACCCTGCAGTCTCCACGCCCTGCCCCCACGCCCATCCGCCTGAGCCCCAAGCCTCTTCCTGAGACTCAGAGGCCGGCCCCCAGCTCCCATCTTGCTCCGGACTTCCCTTTTGGAATACTGGTGAGTACCCTTCCTTGCCCCAGACCCCATCCCTGGGCACCAGCCACTGCAGGGAAGACCTGCCCAAATTGGTCCCAGGTTCTGGCCACCGGGCAGGTTCCCTGCTAGCAGCACCGGGAAGGATCCCCTTCTCCAAGACCCCTGGCAGACCCTGCAGTCTCCACACCTTGCCCCCACGCCCATCCGCCTGAGCCCCAAGGCTCTTCCTGAGACTTAGAGGCCGGCCCCCAGCTCCCATCTTGCTCCAGACGTCCCTTTTGGAACACTCTTGAGTACCCTTCCTTGCCCCAGACCCCATCCCTGGGCACCAGCCACTCCAGGGAAGACCTGCCCAACTCGGACCCAGGTTCTGGCCACCGGGCAGGTTCCCTGCTAGCCCCACCGGGAAGGATCCCCTTCTCCAAGAACCCTGGCAGAC